AAGTCAATGAGAAACTGATCAAGGTGGACCCGAATGGGTGTCCAAGTTGGTGCGCGATGCTAATAAACCAAAAGTAGCATGTGAAGAACAAGATATTAAGAAGTTTCTGGATTAAGCATGTGAAGAAAAAGATATTAAGAAGTTTCGGGATTAAGTGATTTGATTAGGATCTAAGTTTTTAGATCAGGAGGCTAAATTTTTTTTTCTTTATTTTTTTCTTATTGGTCAAACATAAACTTCATTGATAGAAGAACATGTTATAAGAGATAAACATAAAAATGCAATTAGGCCGAAAAGACAACGAAGCCAAGCAAAGCACCTAAAGACCAAATTAGACTTAATAGCTTGACAAAATTCGTCACCATCACAGCCACTATGTAACTCACCATTCCGATACTCGGGTCCGCAGAAACACCATCAGCACCAACAAAACAAAGGCCCCAAAACAAAAACAAAAATACAAATACAAAGCAGCCCCAAATTAATAACAAAATAAATCCCTAATTTCACAAGACCTAAGATCCACAAACAATATAGTAAAATAATCCAAAAACACTCAACCAACAAAAGAAACAACTAAACCCAGTAACCATGTCCACCACTCGAGGACCAACAATAGAATAATTCCCATATAAACAAAGCAAGTAGACAAATCACAATTAAAACCACAGAAAGAGGCGGCGCAGAGACCCAAACCACCAAAATGGTTTTGCACACCTTCATCTGAGTGAACGATTACTCGTTCTTAAGGTGTTTAGCGAACACAATGGCTAAATAAGTCTTCTCATTCGAAGGCAAGCATTTGGCAGGGAATTTGATGATATATGGGTAAAGGGATGGAAAGATAGATGATAACATATGTATGAGACACAAAGTGGAGAAATATGAAATGTTGTAAAATTAGGGATTTGAGATATTTTCGGGCTAATTTGGATTCAATGCAGCAAAACAAAAGTCTCTGAGGAATGAGTGGAAAACCAAAAGGAAGAGAACCAAATGGTCCAATTAGAGGTCAATCTCAGGCTCACCACCATTGAAAATCAGGGACTGGGGAGAGCCACCATCAATAGATGGGGCATACCACCGTCCTTGGAAGATGGTGCAAGTGGTATCATCCTTTTTTGCTTAACTGCCTTTCTTCGATCCTCTTTTTCTTCGCTTCCTACAATCCCTGCGATCTCTGCAATCTCTGTGATCTGCAATCAATGATCTACAATCTCTACGCTATCTACAATATTTGATTTCTCTGTAATTTCTACAATGTGCAATCTCTGAGCTTTGATTACTACCAAATCATGATCGACCTTTTATTCTCTGTGATATGCAGTTACGATGACATCGTCGAGCTCATCTCCAGTGAATCATGAAGTTCCCACCCCAAATTCATCTCCGATGAACCCTAATTTCACAGCGGTTCCTCATTTTCCCTTAATTTCTTCAATTTTAATTCATAATATAAGCTGTATGATTCCTACGAAGATCAAACGAGATAATTACCTTATCTAGAAGGCATTATTTGCTCCAATTTTTCGTCGATATAAGCTCACATGAATTGTTGATGGCTATGACGTTTGTCTCTCATCATTTATTCTTGATGCATTTGGCAAGAACACTGGAATTTCAAATCCAAAGTTTGATTTGTGGTATGAAAAGGATATAAATATCCTAATTTGGTTGAATTCCACACTTTCAGAAGATCTTATTCCTTTCACAGTTGGCATCACATCATCTTGTGAATTATGGATCAATTTTGAGCAATGCTTTTGAGGAGTCTCAGTTGCTCACATCCATTAGCTTCGATCTCGCCTTCATTTTGTTCAGAAAGGAGATCAAGCAATTTTAGAGTATATTCAACTCATCAAGAACATCTCTGATGCACTATTGGCTGCTGAAGCTCCGATTTCTAAAAGTGATCTAATTGCGGTCACACTAAAAGGCCTCTCTGATGATTATGAGTCATTCATTGACTCGATTATGCTTTGCATCTCGTCCACCTCTTAGGATGAATTACATGGACTGCAAACCACAAACCACAATGCCTTGCAACCTACAAACCTCAATGCCATAATCAGCTATCTCAATCCTAACTACTTCTCCAACTTTAACCAACTCATCACCTTTACTTACCACTACTAATACTTCTTCATTACCACTTATTTCACCAAGTCCAAATCCCTTTCCATTACTACCACAACCATCCATCACCACAAACACTCATTCCGTGATCAAGATCCAAAGCTGGGATCTTTAAACCAAAAGCCTTAGCAGGCACTAAACATCTACTTGATACTTTAAACTTTGTTTCCATTACTTACGTACAAGCCTCTTAACATAATCATTGAAAGAATGCCATGGCTGAGGAATTTCAAGCACTATAGTCTACAAGAACTTGGTTTCTTATTCCTTCTTCTCCAAGTCAAAATTTGGTGGGAGGTAAATGGGTTTTTCGAATTACAAGAAAACCAAATGGCACTGTGGACGAGTACAAAGCCTGTTTAGTAGCCAAAGGGTTCCATCAATAAGAGGGAATTAATTTTTCAGGAAACCTTTAGACTAGTTGCCAAACCTGTAACTATTAGGATTCTTTTGACTTTAGCAGTGCAGTTTGATTGGTTCTTAAACCAATTGGATATCAGTAATGCCTTCTTGCATGAAACACTCAAGGTGGAGGTCTTCATGCAACAACCTCTGAGTTTTATTAATCAATCTAAAGCCTCTTATGTGTACAAGCTCAATAAATCTCTATATGGTCTAGAACAAGCCTTCATAACATGGTATGACAAACTAGACTTTGCTTTCTCTTGGTTTCCACAACTCTCGATCAGATTGTTTTTTCTGTTTGTTACATTTGAGCCTGCCCTTGTCATTGTCCTAGAATATGTTGATGATATACTAGTAATTGGAACTAATGCTCAGTTTGCAAAGCTTTCATTCATAGGCTAAGTCAACTTTTTCTAGTAAAAGACTTAGGCCTTTTACACTATTTCCTGGGTTTGGAAGTACACAGAAGCTCAGGAGGTATCTTTCTATCCCAACATAAATATGTAATCGATCTTCTGCTCAAAACACACACGGATGGCAACGAACCTTGTGCTACACCTCTTGGCACTCAAAAATTGGATCTTAGTGGTACACTCTTTTCTAATCCATATGAATACAGATCTATTGTTAGGGCATTACAATATTTGACTTGGACTAAGCTTGACCTATCTTTTGTTGTTAATCAACTCTGTCAATTCTTACATTGTCCTAGAGACACACATTTTCAGTCTATTAAAATAGTTCTAAGATTTCTCAAAGGTACTGTTGATGAAGGACTTTGGTTCAAGAAAAGTTCACTGCATTTAATTACCTTATCGGATGTTGATTGGGTAGGATGTGTGTTTGACAGGCGTTCTACCAGTAGCTACTATGTTTACCTTGGTAGTAATCTCATTAGCTAAAGTGCAAAGAAGCAACACAAAGTTGCTCGTTCCTCCACTGAAGTTGAATATCGATCCTTGGCACACACATCTGCAGAAGTTACTTGGATATGCAAAATCTTCAAGGACGTAGCCTTTCCTTTATCTAAAGTTCTAGTGCTTTGGTGTGACAATGTGTCCTGCCATCTCTTTAGCATCTAATCCCGTCTTCCATGCTAGAACCAAACACATGGAAATTGACTATCACTATATTTAAGGACTTGTCTTGGCTTATCTTCTCAAAGTTCAATTTGTTCCTAATCACAATCAAATTGCAGATATTCATACTAAATCTCTATCCAAAGCTCGTTTTCAGTTTCTCAGGTCCAAGGTTTCTTTTTGGCACTCATCCATTCAACTTGAGGGGGGTGTAAAGAGACACATCATCCTCAATCAAGTGAACAGTGCCAGCTAGACTCCAAGTCATTAGTACACTTAGCAATTACTTAGTGTAGAAGTTTTGTTTGTTGTAACTACATTCTAACTAATCATAGCTTAAGGTTAACTAGTTACATTAGTTGATAACTAATCTTTATTGACTGACTTGTATAAATACCCCTATGTAATCATTTTAATCAATGAGAAATATCTTTCTAATACAAGCTACCATCAGCGACAAATAGCGCAAAACAGCTAACAGGGAATTCCTGGCAAGGCAGATAAAGAAGGGGAAAACGGGTGAGAGATAAGGACAGTGTGAGAGAAGAAAGTTGGTGGGAAGCATGGAGAAAGTAGGAGGAAGGGGAGGGGCTACCGCCTACCCATAGATGATGGACCCAAAATGAGTGGGTGGCAACTTAAGGGTTTTTAGATATTTCTCTCATAAGCGGCGAACTAGGCTTGAGTTTTCTAATTTTTCGACATTTTTTAAAATGATTTGTATTTTTTATAGCCACACAAGCAAACATGTGGAACCTACATTTGCCACGTCATCACGCTTAATTTGACAAAATTGACCGTGTAAAAGATTGAAATTAAAGCACAACTTTTGTATAACACTGCAATATTTTAAAGATGAGGTGTTACACCAAAACTTGAAAGTGTAAACTGAGATGTTTTAAATATATAAAGCCTTTCCATACTTTTTCATTAAAAACCAAACAATTTGCTAGCACTGATCTACACCAACCTTAACTCCATCGAACATATAGCAAATAAATCTTTGTTTATTTAAATTACAAAACGAAAAATAACTATTTAATTTTCATTTCTCAAACAATTTTCCTTTTGGTTGTCCTGGAATTAAAATTGGAAATGTACCCAACGACCACCTATGAGTCTCTCTCTCTCTCTCTCTCCCTCTCTCTAAAATGTATATTATGCCGCCATATGAGAAGTATAGAGCTAGATTATCTGCCTTCTTGTTTGGGTGTTCTTTTCATCTTCTTTTATTTTGTGCGCTTAAGTTATATTAATATTTTATATTAAATTTTTTATATAAAGATAATAAGATAAAAAATAATAAAAATATAAAATATTGACGTAACTTAACCGTGATTGTACAAATAAAAGAAAATAAGAAAGGCACCAAACAAGAAGGCAGACAATCTGCCTTCGTAAAGTATAGGGGTAGTTTGTCTTGTATGGAAACAAAGCCATGAGAGCATTAAATGAAGAGACACCATGACTTCTACATGCACTGCCAATTCTCATCAGCGCTCTGATCTTATTCCCAAAATTGCCTAAAGAAAACACCCCAGTTCTGAAAAGCCTATTCCTTTAGCCATATAGGTACTAAGCTCACCGCAAATTACATCCTAACCATTCATCCACACACCCAACCTAATATGCTTAACAACAACCTTACACTCCAAACCCTCCCTCCACCCACAGCCTTTTGCCTTTTGATTCTAAAACCCTTCTCTCAGTTCTCAGTTTTCAGTTATCTGATCTTCTCTCCCATGGCTTCCTCTAGCTACAATCCACAACCACAAGGTCCCCAACTGAACCCTTATGCAGAACCATGGAAACCCAATACTGTTGTTTGCCAACCCTTTTCTGCTCCAAATAATCTTCAGCTTCCTAGGGCAGGGAGACGTCCAGGTTACAGTAAGGGCAAAAGGGTCCACCCAAGCAAAATTTTCAATGGCCCCAATATTCCTTCTCCTCCTCCTCCCAGGAGAACATCAGATAGGACGAGTAGGCCATGGAAGAAGCTTGATCATGGGGCAAAGTGGGTTCCGAAAAACAAGGGGAAGATGCAGCTGCATGAAGAAGAGAAGAAGCTTGTCATTCCTTTTCCATCTTGTCCTGATGGGCAAGCAAGGTCTCGTATAACCACTGTCATGGTTAAGAATATTCCAAATCAGTTTAAGTATAACACCCTCTCTCTCTCTCTCTCTCTCTCTCTAGATCTCTCGCACTTTGAGATTTTGGATTTTTTTGTGGAACAAAAGGATCGTAACTTTATTGTGGATTGAAAAAAGAAAGATTGAACTTTGAAAAGAAAAAGAAAAAAAAATCGAACCTTTATTTTGGTTTGAAAATAAAAAGGTCGGAACATTATTTTGGTTTGAAAATAAAGTTTGAAAACGTTCTTACAAAATTCCTAATCTCTCTCTCTCTCTCTCCCCCTCTCTCTCTCAGTTCATTTGGTATTTTGGATTTGTTGTTCAAGAAAAATGATAAAGTTTGAAACTTCATTTTTGTTTGAGGAAAAAGATCGTAACTTTTCTGCGTTTGTACATGTTTTCTGCATCTTTCGACACTCTCACTGTTCATATGGAGTAAAATGAACATAGCAAATCTCTTTTGTCCCTCTTTCTTTAAAGATTGAACTTTTCGTCTTCAATGTTTACCTTTTCCGTCTGAAACAAGTCTTGTCTGAGAGTACATGTGATTGTGTTTCAATAACGCTTACAATATAATAACAACATACAGAACATTACATGCATTAAATTTTATTTTAATTTATAAATTAAAGCATGTCTGCAAATATTGATGTGTTTATATATGTAGGAGGACTGATTTTCTGAACGTACTGAAAACGCATTGTTATCAAGAGAACCAAATGCGTCACATACGCGATGAACGAAACAATTCCAAGTTCGATTTCGTTTATCTGCCCATGGACTTCAAGTGAGTAACATTTAATTTTTACTACACTGAAATTAATTAGTTTTTCTCAAACCTTGTTTGTGCGGTTTTAGTTTTTATTTTCGATAATTTTGTTTCCATATATGTAGGAGAAAGCGGATTTCAAATCTGGGTTATGCGTTTGTGAATTTCACAAGTCCTGAAGGAGCACTGAGATTTTACTGGGAATTTCACAACCGACCTTGGAGAGTAGGATTCAACCCAAAAATATGTGAAGTTACACGTGCCGAAATCCAGGTTAATTGACTAATAAACCTGAGTACTTTGTTTTGATTATATAAGATGGATTTTCTAATTAAAACTTTTATCTATTTATTTATTAAAAAAAAATTCTGAGTTTTTATTTTGGAACTGGGATCTTCGAATTTCAGTGAGTGAGCTTATTTTTTATATTATTGATTTTCTTATTTGGTTTTGAAATATTGTAGGGCAAGAGTTCTCTAATGGCAAATTTTAGGTACAAGCGGTTTTGGTGTCACCTACATTCGTACCTGCCGGTAGTTTTGGCACCTGCATGTGACGGTATGAATCTGCCTAAGGTAACCGTGGTCGGAAAACTTGCTGGCAAATCATCTTACTACAAGTGATCTGTGCCTTGTGAGGTTCATTTGGTCATATATGTACATATGTAGGGATATATATATATATATATTCTAAGCTTCAATGATTTAACATATTTGGTGTCTTAACTTAGCTGAAATCTGAATTGTGAATATATGGTCTTATGATGTGCCATGATGTTGGCTTCTTAAGTGAGGAACTTCAAATGAGTATCTTTAAATATGTGTGCTATGTGAAGTGGTTGATGTTTTAAGGATCAATGTGAAATGCTTGGCTTTATTGCTTGATTAGTGTTATAATTTTATTTCTCGAGACATATAGTTCTTATAAACCTTGCTTATTCTCTGTATAATACGAGCACGGGATAGTGTATTCAACTCTCCCCTCTTCATTATAACTTCAATCATACGATAGGATATGATTATATCGTGCTTAGAATTTGATTGGATTGAATAATTCATTATATTTTTTCGAAAAAAAAAAAATCATTATATTTAAGATATGTTGAAATGAAGAAATCTTGTTCAACTTGAAAGTGGAGGATGAATTATTCATTAAACATATTTTCTCTTTCCAATATACCAACAAAACCACCATTTTCTTGAAATATGAAATAAATAACAATTACCAACCATAATACAATGATTAGATATATTTTTGAGAAACGCTAAGGAAACTCTCAAAAGTTGGATTTTTCATGAATTTTTTCGTCACCTCATGTTTTTGACACGATTCTCGTGTCAATATTATAAAACATTGTGCTTAAAACATAAAGTGGTTAACTTCCCCAATTCGTCAGAATTCCCAAATACTTCCCTGGGTCATCTACTTGTGGCATATTCAGAATGCTACAAAGATCCTGACACACCTCAACTGGTGTATTAGCACTAAAATAAACCATAGACTTTTGCAAACTAGTTATCTTGATCGGACGCATGACAATAGCCATTGAGAAGATTCACAATATTCTAACAGTTGTTTCTTGTGGTTTTTAGAAAAATCAGAGTGTCATATGCGAATAGAAGAGATAACACCTCACTAACAAGAAGGAATAAATATGGTGAAAGTGGGTCATCCTGCCTCAAACCCTTTGTTGGCTTAAATCTCCTTCCCGCATTGGCCTATGTTAAGGATCGTGTTCTTAGGAAGATAAAAGGGTGGAAACAACAGTTCATTTCTCAAGCTGGGTGGAAGGTGTTGATTAAGGTTGTTGCTTAGATAGTGCCCGCGTACCCAATGAATATATTTAAATTCCCGGATACCTTATGTAATGAGATTGATGCTGCACTTGCAAGATTTTGGTGGGGGCAAAGAGAAAACGAGAGAAGAATTCACTAGGTTACTTGGGAAGATATGGGGTACTCAAAATGTGAAGGGGGAATGGGTTTCAAGAACTTGAAAGAGCTTAATGTTGCTCTTCTTGCCAAGCAATGTTGGAGATTAATTCATGATTCAAATTCTTTGTGGGCCTAGGTCTTAAAGGAGCCATATTTCCCTTATGTTTTGTTTTTGGAAGCCAAGAAGGGTGGGCGGGCTTCATGGATTTGGTCCAGTTTGCTTGAAGGAAGGGAGTTGTTGCTAAATGGTATGCAATGACAAGTTATGAGTGGTAATCAAATTAAATTTTGGGTTGATAAATGGGTTCCAAGTATTGACTGTGGCCGCCCAAACCCTCTTAATGAAGTAGATGTGGACAGAGAAATGCACGTTGCTTCTGTTATTCACCCGGCAGATGGTAGTTAGGATTTGGAGTCAATTCACAATTTGATCTCTGAAGAGGATTGTAAGGCAGTTTCTAATATCCAGGTGGGTGATTCTAGGAGGAGGATAGGTTGATATGGCCTACGGATAGGAAGGGGACTTACTCTGTTAAATCGGGTTATAGATGGCTTCGAAACAATAATGATAGAAGACGAAATTGACGACCTTCCTCTTCAAGGTATACTGATCAGGCGGTGTGGCATGGGATTTGGAGGTTGGAGGTCCCTCCAAAAATTTGAAACTTCTTATGGAAAGGAATCAAGTGTGTTATTGCTACGTAGCTAAACCTTTTCAAACAAAGGCGTGCCACGTCTCCCTTCTGTTCGATTTGCAATGAGTGCGAGGAGTCTGTTGAACATCTTCTATTTTTTTGTCCTTGGGTTAATCTGGTATGGTTTGGTGGCCCCTTGATAAAGTTGATAATAGTTCTATTACTAATTTTGATGCTTGGCTCTTTAAAGTGTTCAAGGAGAATTTTGGGGTAAGGCGGAGAGGGTGAGAATTCAGACTTTGTTGGCCTTCACATGCTGGCAGATATGGAAAACTCAATGTAAGTCTATTTTTAACGTCAACCCTCCTTCTCCTATGCAAACTGTACAGTTATTCAATGTGCTTATACTATGTTCATGAGGCGAGAGAAAGGAACATTATCCAGCGAGATGCAATGCCTATTGTTTAGCGGGACTATACTTGGTCTCCACTCCCTCCCAAATGGTAAAAATTAATGTTGATGTGAGTTGGAAACATGAGGATTCAAAAAGTTTTGGTCATGAGAGACTCGAGGAAAAAATGTTTGATGATTCGAAGAAATGATGTGCATGCCTCTTGTCCAGAAGTTGCTGAGGCTCTGGCAGTTCTAGAAAGGTGTCTTTTGGCTCAACACAGCAACTTTTCACAAATTATGGTGGAATCTGATTGCGAGCAATTAATTTCTTATTTAAATGGTGGTGCTGAAAATTGCAGTTGGAAGATATACCCTATTTTAAGTCGTATTCGGCAATTGGGGTGTCATTTTCTCAACTGTGTGTGGTCCTGGATGCCAAGGACAGGGAATGAAGCAGGTGAACTATGTCGCTAGATTTTGTGGAGCAAAGATGAGCGATTCTGCCTAGGTCATCAGACCCCCATCTTTGTTGATGAGGATTTTGAACAAAGATGGGTTACCTTGTTCTCCTTCTTAGGTAGGGTTGGTGTGGCTTGGGGAAGATGTGATAGCCTTGTTTGGCAGCGTCTTTTGTGTTCCCCTTCTTGCTTGTATGTGTTTTGTTGGTCAGGTGTTCTTGGCTTTCTTTGTTTGAGGTGGCTTTTGCCTTGGAATGAAATTTCCTTTTTACCAAAAAAAAAAACAAAAAAAACATAAAGTGGTGGGGAGTCTCAATTGAGAGTCTCCTTGGCATTTCTCTATATTTTTCCCCGAGTGACTAGTGCATTAAAATTACAATTCACTCGGTCAAGTAAGCAAGATTTTGGGTTCATATCTAGCTAATTTCAACATTATAGCATACAAGAATAGCAGTGAATGCATGTAGAAATGACATAGATCAATTTTTCTGCTCCAAAAATTAGTGTCTTCTCTATGGCCCCAATTGTTGAAGGACACATATTTATAAACTTAATTTTATTGTCATAAACTTAGGGCTAGTTTGGTATTGGTGTGCTTTTTAAAAGAAACTGCTTATGCTTTGCTATGAGAATAAAGGTTTAATTAACTAAATAACTTTGTTGAGTGTTTGGTAAACCTTTTTTTTTTTTAAATTGTTTTTAACAAAAAAAAAAAGTGACTAAGTGTGGGGTAGACTTTTATATAAAATTGCTATGGTTATGTTAAATGACTAAAAAGAATATGTTATTAATGTGATATTATAATTGCCAAAGTTAATAATGTAATGGCAAACATTGTAATTTTGTAAAATATGCGGGAGTATACTTGCCATTTAAAAATTTCATTGAATGAGCAATGATCACTATACTTTGAAAACAAAACACTTATTCTAGAAGCATGATAGACCCTGCTTCTGCTTCTTTTTATTCTTTTCTAGGGTCACTGACAACAGTTTTTTTAAAAAAGAACTTTTTCTTTTGTTTAACCAAATACATTTAATATTTCAAATATTTTAATAAACTATATTTTTTTAAAGTACTACAATCTCAAACCAGCCTTTAACATGTGTCAAATAATGATTGAGGCCACATAGAAGTCACATCCATTTTAGATGCACTACAAATCCTGAGGCGAGCGACACAAAGTAATTTACACTACTAGTTCAAAAGTATTTTTGAATACATTTAAAAGTATTTTTTAAGAGCCACTTAGTGCTACTATCTAGTGATATTCCTCTTCACTTGTAAGTGAGAGGTCTTAGGTTCAGTTCTCTCCAAAGGCAAATTTGAATCATATTATTGCTAGCCTATTGTGAGGATCAGCCTAGCCCCCTCTCTCTTAGTGTAGATAATATCGTTTATTTAAAAAAAATAATTAATACAATAATATAGTTGTACTAAGTTGCGGAATATTTGAGCAAAACAATAGAGTGGTCAATCATAATAAGTTGATATCTAAATCGTCATCAATAAAAATGGAGCAAAAAGAATAGGTATATCACAATATTATAGTGCCAAGTAACTGTGTCAAAGCTATTTTTAGAATGGTAAATTAAAGTCATTATAAATGATAAAAATCAAGGAATAATTCACAAGAGGAACAAAACAAACTCTAACAACACCACTTACGTACTTTGAACCCAACAAATACAAAATTATTACTCAAAGTTAAAGCATGAACCTATAGAATTCCAATTACTAGAAAATTAATTAAAGCATTTATTCATGAGTTCATGAACATCACCCTCATTTTTTTTTTTTTTTTGGAAAGCTGAACATCACCCTCATTAGGTCAGTCAATAAATCACTCAATCCACCGCCATCACTCTCATTTTTTTTTTGGAAAGCTAAACATCACCCTCATTAGGTCAATAAAGCACTCAATCCACTGCTTCTGGCAAAAAAAAAAAAAAAAATCTGATTTTATTTCTTACGTACTAATTACTATAATTGTTGATTGGAGTCCCCTTCTGTACTGTATATAAATTAGACCATGAGCATAGGTACCATCCATCTTAGTCTTACCCCTACGATTTCAGTACCGAAACATCTTTAGCACAATTTTCTCAAAAATGGCTGCCTCGGTCAAGTCCTTCATTGTGATTCTTCTTTTCTGTCTCATTAGCAAAGGTAAATAGTTGTAAAAATTGATTTGCTTCGGCACCCTCTCTCACTAGTAGAAAAAATAGCTTACGCGACGAAGAGTATTTTGTCGCGCAAGACGTACTTGAGCAACAAAAAATTTACTTCGTTGCGCAAACTAGAAAAGATAGGAGACAAAAAAAAAAAAAAAAAAAGTGCGATGAAGATATTCGTTGCGCAAGAACACTTTGCGCGACGAATAATTGTTGGCGTTGCGTAAAGTTAGCAAGAAAACCCGGGGTATTTTTGTTTGGCTGCGAAAAACTTGTGCGACTAAAAG